TCTTATATGCTACTATTTTTATTTCGAATCGTACCGTTTTTATCTCCGAGACAGTCTTTGTCGTAATCGTCGTAATGATCGTCGTTGTTGCGTTAACATCACAATCATAAGAGAACAGTAATCGCAAACGTACGCAGACGTAGACTGAAACTCAGTCGTTTTCACAGAGACGCGAACCCAACGCGTCAACGTACAGTACACACTTCTGCATGCATTCCAGCTCGACGACTCGCACCCATCATACAAAATGTACAAAAGCGCACGCGTACTTATACATGTATTAGACATTGCAAAATCGTCTGCCTGGTCAATTACGATTTACGTTCACTCCCGCGGATCTGTGTATCCGAACGCCTCTCTTTCTCTCTTCTATCTTTTCCCATTCGACTCGAAGGAAACACAGAGACACAGAGACGCAGAGATGCACAGAAACGTGCTCTTGCAATTCTATCGAATAATATATTATATTCCTTATGGACGAGACGCACGGTAATCCTATCATTCTTGTAAAAAAGTATCAAATATAGAAGGAATAAAGTGAAGTGTAGAAACGCAGGTTCGGGGAGCATGTACAGCGGAGAGGAAAAATCAGGGATAACCGACCGACGAGGATTTTTCAATTCTCTAAAGGGGTAACACAAGTCGAGGAGTAACCAACAGGGAAATCGAATGAGGAACGATAGCTTTATCCGTATAAAAATAAAAATTCATCTCCGTCCTAAAAATTTCTCTACTTTATATGAATTAGATGAATCATCGTACACGTATATTAGTTTCAAGGATCGTGTACGCACACGTTTCATTTTCCACACACCATATGGATATATGTATTGTACGATGCTTTACCATTTTATCGTTCGGCTTCCTTTTAGTTTTCCGATCGTTTATCCGAGTGAATGTCCCGCAATATTCCCATATTGCGAATGAAACGAGCGCAATGGACGCATCATCTTGTCTCCAGGAAATTAAGTACGATTCACTGGTGTCTTGGAAACGAAATGATCAAACAGCGAAGGCGATTCAACGATGGTCTGCTGTTAGATTTGCATTAGAAACCGATCACTTCACTCTGTCCATTAATTAGTCTCTCGATACTTCGCTTCGTTTGTTTCGCGAACGCTCGAGAATAATAACTTGTTCGATTTTAACCATTTTTCCTTTACCAACAATCCCGTCAATTGTTCGCGCGCATTTCTGTCGCGATCGTTAGTCGAGAGAAACTTATACTCTTTAAAAACAGTCTTTATACAGTGCTTAAATTATTATGTACAATACGTAGTCGATGAAAATGTAAAAAGGGCTCTCTTATCGTAATTGTTACGCGTTAGACGAACCGAACTTGTCGTTCTAGAACCGTACGGATTTCACCTCGAATGATTACTCAAACGTAGTTTTGACTCGTCGTACCCTGCTTGTCTCTACAAAAACCGCGGGCGGTCTGTTCGATAGCCAGGTCTGTTTGATTGAAAAAAACTTGAATCTGAAATGTCTACAAATTCGCAGTTTTTACGAAACATTATCGTAACGTCGTTGTTCGTGTTCTCACCTCGATAAGCCGATATCTCTGTGTGAGATCTCTTACCGTGCCAGAAAACACTTTCTTTTCCTCGCGACGCACACTTTCGGAGGATAATATAAATACAAGAAAAAGCATGCGTATAAATGCACAAGATCTAAACATTAGTATAAAAAGTTCTCTGTTCTCACGCGCGAGAAGCACGCGAGCCTAATACGTAAAATCTAAGTACGTACCTAAAATATGTGAATCTATGTGAAACGCGAATAACTGTATGTCAGCGAATAGAAAAGTAGTCGAAAGACGATGCGTTTCATTCGTAAAGAGAACAAACGAAGGGAAAAGTATATCGAACGACTACGTAACGGTGGAATAAACGACGCAAGTGAAACTATCATGATTATCTTTAAGCTGCCCAAAGTGAAACGAGTTGGAAGTAAACAAATACAAAGGAGAAAGAGGTGGAAAAGGAGGAAATGCCGGATCACGGGCAATCGTACAAACGATTTACGAGTTTCACGACATTCTTCGACGCGATTCGTGCCATTCGATTAGAATTGCCCGCTTCTTAGTCTTGATTCCGGCTTGTTGAAACAAAAGAGGAAAACAACTAAGATTCGAAGGGATTTCCAGCTTTCTTCTGTCCTCCATTTGTACAAGAGTTCAGAGGAACGGGTACCGCTGTCACGAGTATCGCTTTCATTTCATTTGAAATACGCATATCATCTCAGCAGATACTTGTAAGCCGCGCAACTCCCGATAATTATAACGAACGAGACTTTCGATAAAGGAAGGAATGGCGCTAAACTGGAAGCTGCCTTTGTTACGTCCTCGCAAACACCTGCAACAACAAAACCAGACGCGTAAAAGACTGTGCATCCAAGATTTTTAACATGTTCGCTCGCGTGTAAACTTGTAACGAAACCTCATGCTTATCGGTTAATCTGTTAAAGAGAGACTTTTACGAAGGTTGAGAATGTAGCGGAAAGATGTAGGAACGCAACGGAACTCACGAACGAGAAAGAAAAACGATACCTTGGCTGACGAGGGTATGGGTCCATTCATCCTCGGCGGGTTCTCTATGACAAACACGATCCAATCTTGCAACCCAAACTTCTTGTTCGGATAGTTTAACTTTAGCGTTTGTTCCTGTCATAAACTTTCCCGCGTTTCCGTTGAATCGCATAGACAAGCAAAACGTCTGTCCCAGTCCTGGAGAGATTTGACTTGTTTTTCGCGATACTATCGTGTACCATGTACCCCTCTCTTCCCAGCTTCCGTGGCAGTAATACGCTACGGGAAAATGAACGACAAATATACAAATATAAGCACAGACCTGACGGTTCAGTGGAAATTCGCTCTATCGATATAATCCAAATGCGACTCACTTGTTTCTTCCCTGTCACATGTTTTTCTAATAATAATCTCATTCTGATCCGACGAAGTGCATCCTATTTCGATATCGGTACTGGTACTCTCGTCTCCGTATTGCTCCTGTTGTTGGTGTTGTTGTTCCCGTCCGTGTTGATGGTGATGGTGGTGATGATGATGTAGCTGTTGCTGTTCCTGGTGTTGCAGTTGTTGCTGTTGTTGCTGCTGCTGCTGTTGTTGTTGTTGCTGCTGCTGCTGCTGCTGCTGCTGCTGTTGCTGCTGCTGTTCTTGCGTCGTTGTTTGTTGAATATCCTCGTTCCATGTTCTCCTTTTAACAATTCTCGAGAAGCGTTTCTCGCTACGACGCTGTCGACGAATCGATGTACTAGCCAGGTGAAATGGAGGAAATCCCATCATAGTGTATCTACCGTGGTTCGGACACTTTCTTTGACGCAATGACGAGCCTACGCGACGAACGATCAGTTTCGATCAATTTCAATTGGCAATTAACAATCGGCAATCGTTACTGGTTGTTACCCTGAAAAAATCTAATAATATTCATCTACCGTATTACTCACTGATCAGCGTGGTGTACGGCATTGTGGATGTATCCGAAAGAGAACACGCCTCGTCCGGCATTATAGCCTTTTGATCTGCGAACGTACATAAATTAGGAACGCGCGTTTAAAGTGCACCAATTAAAAGAACTCATGTGTACGATATATAGATACCAGATTGTTGTAGCTCTATAATATGGTGATCCCTTTTGTGAAATATCATACACACGTAACCGATATCGCTGCAATCAGACCGGAATTTCATTACGCTTTCATCAGAGATTCGGATGTCCGTTGACGACTACTTACCAGCCACTGGTAACATGAGCGATTAGTTGTACTTTGTATCCTTGCGTACTGTCGGTGGAATGTAACTTCTCCAAATTATGACAGACAATTTTCTCGTCGTGAAACGTATCTCCATCCGTGTTTTGTACTCGTACTTTGAGCGTCGCATTTTTGTTCGTAAAGTGATAAATCTTGGTACCATCCAAAGAATGCCAGTCGTGATGTTCGGTAATCCACGAAGGATATTTGCACTTGTTATGTTCTTTGTCGACTGTCGGCGAACGCGAAAAAAGGAAAGATGAGACGAGAAAGGACCGATGATAAACTCGATCGTCGAGAGAAACGGTGAAACGAGCCGAGATTCTTACCTTTCGTGAGTTTGATTGTCGGCGATCCCTCGGAAACAGTGGTTAGACCGTTGCAGGTAGGTTCACCGGATTGAGCCAGCAAATATACCACTTTTCCTTGATGGTGGGTCTTCTCTTCGTACAAGAAGCATCTGTGTACCGACGGACGCACGAGAGACAAACGACAAACAGTGGAACGATTAAGGAGCATACGACGATACGAGAATGGGATCGTGCTCTGTCGGAAGAACAGAGATACATACCTGTACGTTTTCTCTGCTCCCGAGACGCTTCGTCGTTTCAAAGTGCCAACCAGATACTTGTTACGACCGTCGTTCCACACGGCCAAGCACTGCAGTTCTTCCACTGAAAGATCGATGCCAACAGTGAGAAACAGTGAATCGAAACGATTAGAATTTTGACATGCTGCTGCCGAAATTCTCAAACACTCACTGCTGCTTTCGCTTTTCTCGATATCCGGACAAGCTTGATACTTGAGAAGTAATTTACTCTCGTCGATACACTTTTCGCCGAGGCTGACGGGAGACAGGCACTCGCCGTAGCCTTTGTCGTACGAGAACGTAAACGAAGGCCCGCTGAAAGGGCAAGGTATCGGCTTGGAATTCACGCGAAACATAGAATAAAGGGTATCGTCCGACTTGATGGTGGAGCACATATCCTCCAACGTGCTTTTCTTCGCGTTGCAGTAACCTGCAAGAGGGAACGCTCGTTATTCATCATAACGGCGAACGCGCGTTTGCGTCGCTTTCGCGAGTTCTTACCTTCGCGAAACTGTATCACGTTCTCGTGCCTGTCGTTCACGATTATGCAGTGATAACAATTGTCCCCACTGAAACGCGACAGAACACGATTAATGCGCTACACTAAAATTCTTCTCGTAGCCGAACATCGAACAAGCGAATTCTACTCACTAGATGATGTACGAATCGGTGGATCGTTCTACGCACGTCCTTTCACCCAAAACGGTTGCGTTCACAGTAATCGATACGAGTTTTCCATTCTGGTACCACTCGCCGGCCCAGCTCGCCGGGAACTCGCAGGAACCTAACAGAATTCCATTCGCTACACTTTTATTTCGAACGAGAATTCGACGGACAAACGAAAACAGATGAGAACCAGTTTACCGTGTCGCGTTTCCGTATATTATATCGTAGAACAATTCCAACTATTGCGAGCTAATAATGGGACAGGCGATAACAAGAGTACCAGTAAGAAATCGGACGACTTATCGGTAACGATTCCTCGAGTCTCGATATTAATTATTATCGTTAATGTGGAAAGCTGTAGAAAACGAAAGCGGATCACCCGGGCGTACGTCCATTTGAAAATATTCTCGAAATTGTGATCGTTACCTTTGAACGTACGTTTCTTTTCTGGGGCAGCGGTAGCAGAGAAGGTAAAAGGTACGGAGGAAAGAGGAAGAAGAATAATCTTTCTCTCCTGTGTCTCCGTCGCCGACTTACCGTGGGTACTGGCGGAAGGTATGTCACCGAACGATAAAATCAAGAGCATCAACATCGTCGCAGGGCCAACATTCCCTTTTCGATACGAAAAGGAAAGCTCCAACATCCTGAAATGAAAACACGATAGAAAGTACGACTTATTAGAATGTTTACACAAGCCAATCGTCGTCGAGACACTATGCAGGCCTAGCAGCAGGACCGGGAACTGTCCAGTGAAATGATTTGGCTATCCGTGTTTACCCACGCTCGAACAATTCTCATCCCTTTCCATTAATCGAGTAAATTCAATTCCGACTCGGTTCGATCGATCGATCGGATTATTAAACGAGCAAAGTCTTTATCGTCGTCGGAATTGTCCTAAACGTATTCGTTTGAAACGCACCAACGCGCGCGTGCCGATCGGTGTTCCATTCACGAAACCGTCAACGCAACAGAATTATCGAAGAAGAAATTTGCTCGTTGCAGTCGGCTGCGGTAAGTCGCGATAAATCGCAATAAGTTGCAGTATCGGTACGAAGACGATGCACTACTGCGCGACAATCAGAAAATGCATCTACCTAGAAAACCTACGAGAGGGATACATTATTCAACGAGATACACGTGTTTCTTTCCGTTTCGTTCCACTCGTATTCCCTTTACCGCGAATCGCCTATACAGTTACACACCGGCACCCTCCGAGCTTCCCTTCCTTCTACACGTCTGTAAATCTTTCGAGGTCACGCGTTCTACATAGAGCAACGCCGTGTCGGAAAACATGAGATTTCCTCCTCGAAATCAATCGGACGTCGAACGAATGAAACTAACCTGTTATATTTCGAATCTGTATCGTCGAAAGGAAGCAGAAAAGAAAGGATCCAGTTCCAAAGCTCCGAAAGACGGGGTATCACATAATGTTTCCAGGAAAAGAAGCTGTCCAACGAGCACGCGAGTTTTCGCGTATTCGACTATTCGAGCCGTGCGAAAGCACAGAATCGAGGAAACGAGGAAACGAGGAATCAAGGAATCGAGAAACATCAGACTCGAACACGCATCGTAAGCGAGGAAAAATCCAACCGCAAAAATCTCGTTCGGACTGGGAATATAATTCGATTAAGGATACGAGCAAATCGCGTCCGATCCCTTGGGTAAAGCTACATTGCTCGCATCGTAACACGTCGGAGAGGAACACTCTGCGTTTTCTATCATGGCAAACACTATTATCATCACTGCGCGAGATAGCCACGGTAGGTGCACTACACAGTTGCTGTAACCTTCTGTTGCCAAATCTCCATTATCCCGCGAGCGATCGAGGCATTAATCCGCACTCGAGCGCGTGGAATCCAGAGATCTTTCATAGCTATTCTCTTCGACGTGTAGACATTTTCAGTTGTGCCCATCAAACGCAACCACCGTTAACACATGTCGCGTTGTTCGACCTTTTGTCTCCTCGGTGCTCGATATTCGTCACTCGTTCGTTTCTTCGCACCGTTCGCACCGTTCGCACCGTTCACACCGTTCGCACCGTTCACACCGTTCCCACCGTTCGCACAGTTCACACGTTTACGCGTTCGTACGCTTCGTCGCTCGCCCATACAAATAATGGCGGCGGCGACAACGACCGACAGACAGCGACCGACACGCCACTCAATTGGTTGTCCGATAATCTAACACACTGCAAAATTACGCAATACGGATCGGTGTACATCAACTGTCATCGTCTCGATATATTCCTTCTTTCCTTCGAGTTGTTCTTTCTCTTTTCATCTCTATGTACAACTACTCGGAGAGTTTACTATCTCTATCTTTTTCCCCCCAACATTTCAACATTCCGTTTCGAAAACTTTACGTTCCGTTGCTCGCATTCGTCTCTCTCCGACACTTGCCCCTTTGCGCGCACACATATTCCGATCCACGTTCGTTCAAACGCGAATATGTCATGAAAGCAACAGAGCTGTAGGGAATTTATTGGAGGAGCGATAAACGCTGCTAGGGATTCGTGTCGCAGTTTTAAATGATTCTGCGACTGACCGTTCGATGCGGGTAGAGTCCGCTAGTGCGTTTTCCACCGTGTCGGTATTTCAGAACAGTAGACGGAAAAATACATTGTATGCGCAGTCTGTAGATATTTCTAGTCTATGGTCTGGCCAACGCTAGTATTACGTTCGTGCCACCAGGTGGTGACATCGTACATGTCAAAATGGCGGACGCAAACGATAGGAATGTTTCGTTTTGAGTCTGTCGGTAGACTCGTAAAGAAGGCAGATTAGTAAACCCTGCCCTATGGTTAGGTGTGTATTTCATTTACACGGACAATTGATTCTTTGAGCAGTGCAATAGGGTCGTCGGTATTTTGAACACTCTTCGATACGTAAGCAACAACTCTACCGATACATAATACTCGGCACTGCGAATTTTTACAGTAATAAATGGCTAGTGACTTGCGTGGAGTATTCTTACGGACGGCCGCAGTGGCCAATCGGGTTGAAATTTTTAGGGTTGAAAGGGGAGGGAAATTGCTCATCAAATATCAAATTTTCACCTCGGACGTATATTCTTGTCCTAGATATTAATAGAAAACTAATGCGCGACCAATATACCGATCCCCGTTGTAGTAACAGTTGGCGGGCCGTTCGAGTTTAGTGACGAACAGTGATATCGGCCATACTATTATCTATAAAAATATATCGCTATCGCTACATTGAATTCTTTAGAAGCAGTAGTAAGTAACTATATCCGTGGAAAGAATGCGGGTTCAAGTGTCGGAACTTGGTGTGTTTTCGGCTCTGGTGTGCGACTCGTCGGGACGGTACACGTTAACTCTGTCGCGTCACGCAACGTACACACACGGCAAAAGACCTCACTTGCCCTTGTGCCATCTCGAGGCTCTTCTCACAAACAACGTCCAACGATACGTATCCATAATACACACACACACACACACACACACATGTATGTCATACGAGGTTCCAGCAGCGTGCCGAGAGACCGCCACAAGCATAGTCGCCCGAAAATCCGACATTCTCGTAAAGCTTATTTCATTCCCAATTCAAGAAAATCACGTACAAACATCTTCGACTCTGTTGGTTTCCGTGAAACACTGCTGAATTCAAAATAGAAGGATTTTTGCCAATACAAAGAAAACATTCGACTCGGTCAAACAACTACATAGTTTCGCTAATACCGGCCCCTACTATCCGAATGAAACTCGTTTCTATACATCACGAGAAACTGATTTCACGTGGCGCACTGTACATGTAGATACTAAACTAATATCGCTGTTTAATTGGCATTAATGAAAACTAAAGGAAAACTAATAAGTTCTCCGCTTTGCTATTCGGAAGTGTGTGGCCCTTGCGTGTTTCGTCCAAATGACACGCATTTATCCCTCTTTAATTCACCTTATAAATAAAGAACGATAGACATTACCATTTACAAAGTACTAAACTGCTTTGTTCCGATAGATCGATGCTTATCGTATGAGAAATTTTGAGTACGAATTGGCAACTCTTCCGGTGAATACATTCAGGTACAGAGTAAACAATTGTAATGCACGATCTGTGTCAGGATTATTGGATCTGAAACAGATCCGAAACAGACTACATTGCCGGTGCTCGTTGATATCGGGAAATTACGATTTCAGGTCGTCTTTCCGGCTTTTTAATCTCATCTTCGCATTCAATTGCAAACGACTCGGTCATCGATCGATCAGAATAGTTCCGTTTCCAACGAATGAAGCGTGGCTAATTAACTTTCCTAGAGAAATAGAGTGAAACGTTCTGCGAGACACGTCTCCTCGCGCATACGATTATAATCTATAATTGACGCCTTTCTACGGCGGAATATTCCTTTAATATTTCTTCGTCCTTGTTACGTGTCCCAAGATCAAAGTATCGTATGTATTTCGACAAACGAATATTATCTTGACCGCGAAGAAACGGTAACGCTGGTGTTTATAATCTTTGCTTCGTTAATCGTACACCGTACTACTGTCAGACGAATAGTTTCCATCGAGTCGGGAAAAGTTGTCATCGAGAGAAATTCAGTTTCTCATTCTTCTCGACCGATACTCGACGACGCGAACTTTGTGTATTTTTCATTTATTTTATTCGAGGTTCTATTCGATCGCTTGCATATGTGTAAAAGTGGCCAACATATATTCGATTATTGTACATTAAATTACGTTGTACGCAATACATGGATTTCGCTTTAATACGAATATGCGCATACGTGAGTAAAGTATACATGTATATTATACATCCGCACCATGCCAGAAAGCTCTGTAATGTGCTTTTATGCCGTTATGGATATCCCTTTTCATTCGTATGTATATATATATATATATTCAAGCTCATTTGAATCTTCAAAGACACGGGCATTCGAGTGAAATTGTAATTGTAAAAAATTGAATAAAACACGTAGATTGATATGTCGTATCGTCCGTGTCGAAGGAAAAGACGAAGCATCGGTATCTAGGAAAATTGTAAGCGCAACTGACTGGAATACGCGTACGTATTTGGGGAAAAATCCAAACAAGTCCGTTCATTGCTCGATCAAGTGGTTAGGTATCACGCTTGAAACGAATATGGGTGAATGGTTTTCGAGGAACCTGAATCCGCGTTGAAAGTCGAAATCTTTCTAGGACGTGGTAAGCTCTTGAGCGCAAGTCCGTCGCGTAGCAAACGTGACTTTTCGATCGACACTATGCGAGCGTGCCACAAAATACGTCGATAGGTAAGTCAACAGTCGTAACGGCTGAAGCGCCGTTCGCATCACGAATGTTGCCAAGCATTTCCTTTGTCAAGGTACGTTTTTAGCGAGCCATCATATTTTTCTGTTCGTGGGTCGTGCACGATCGTTCATCGCAAGCACACTTTTACTACGGTGACAACCGGTAATGATTCTGGTATTATCGTATGCATATGCCATCTATTGTCTGCACTTTCTATCTCGTTAATTGTCCCCGCCTTCGCATTTCCAATTGCTGGGCTTTTTTTCAAGACACTTTGTATCATTTTGAATCGTAAATATATATATATATATATATATATATATATACATGTACATGTTTATTGTTCGCTTTCGATTTAAAGGTTCCACAATGCAGTCGAAAAAGTCACGTGCATACAAGTATTTCTAGGCACTTGTCATTGATATATAGGCGCTCTTGGTATGGTTTTCGACTGCGTATGATAAACGCGGATAGTAATCGGTGAATCTGATACGACGAATGTTGCACGTGTTGGCCAAGTTTATTAAAGTGGTCAATTCTATCACTGTAACACCGATTAGACACATTGGTAGCCAAGTTTCGAGTTATTAGCAAAAACTCTTTCGTTTCGCGTCTCGCGTTTCCGTACATTCTTCAGTTCAAAGATGAGGCGCGAAATAACGCGTGTTTCGAAATAAAGAGTAGCCTTTTCGTTCTAGGAAACTTATAGGAATGTCCTTCTTTGGCTGGAAAGGGAACAGTTGTTCCGACAGTACTGAACATACAGGACGTAATTTACAGGATGGCCTTTTTCAAATCGCTTCTCAAGCTTGTCACATCTTGGTACAAGTAAGCTTCTCACAAGTTTTATAAGTATCGTTCTTTTCACAGATCAAGTATTTTCCATATACAGAGTGTCCCGTACCTGGCGGTCCAAGCGACCAGGGGGGGATTGCATGTAAAAAACTGAATCGAAGACAACGCAGACTAAAATTTGTTCGTACGAAGCTTCGTTTCTCGAGTACGCGCGCACTCGATCCAGTTTCAGCTCGACCAATTTCACCGTGGATTTCAGGAAAAGTGTTGCAAGTGACGCCCATGTCCACGTCCGAATGTTTTCTAACCTATCGTTGTGCAATTTTCATTGTTCAAACGCTGTAGTATTGTTTGAATTGTTCAGCGCTTGTCGTGTTATCACCGTACACAATCGACTCGATATTCGCGGTATTTCGGAAACTGGAACCTCTCTTCCGTCAACGTCAGAGGAAATAGATGCAAGAGGTATCCTATCGTGTTGGCAATGTTTCTAAACATTAGAAGAACCACAGAAATACCGTGTTATTCGGGAGAGGGAGACAGTGAAATCCGTACCGCTGAAAATGGATCAAGCGCACGCGTACTCGAGAAATAGTCAAGCTTCAGTTTCTCGGGAACGAAGGTTCACGCGAACTGTGAAATGTTATTCTAGAGTTTCTAGAGGTCGTTTGTACCAGCAGACACGGGGGGCAGCCAGCACATCTGTAGATTTATTGTCCTTTACCCGACAGCGTCTCTCCCGATTTCCTATTTCGAACATTTCCTATTTCCAACGTGTTCTCTTCCATCCGTTAACCGGGCAGTTTAATATTTTGAACCGCCGAGATACAACGACGCAAACTTGTCGTTGAATCAGCAGAAACAGAGGCTGGTATTTTCACTGACTGCACGATATTTGAATCGTAAGGTGAATAATACACACAACGTTTCGTACGGCGGCAACAACGACGTGAGGAACATCGCATACTCGAAATGTTCGATGAAAGACGAGGATCCGATTAATCCGACAAATTCGAGCGTGAGCCAAGGGACCGCTTCCACGCTGAAATCCTATACAAAATACACGAAGGAAGCGGCGAAAGATCAAGACGTGGTCGTTCTGTTGCCACATCGAAGGAATAGGACGCCTCTCGTGAAACAGAAACTGTCTGTACGTAATCTTCCGAAACTCTGATTTCCATTCGCTCCGACTCGTTTCGCGACGCAACGCGATGCAACTTGTCCGACTGAATCGTTGCTTCGAGTTGCAGACAGTTTCTGAAAACGCACGGCTGGAAAGAAATTCTGGTTGCAATACTGGCAGCGGTGCCGCTGCTACCCACACCAACAACCTTCCCGATGACGATTTCGACTTATGGGATCAATCTGGCTTTATGCTGCGAAACGACGCTGACGATTCCGTAGCGAACGGCAAGTCAGTAACTTTCTTATGTCTAGCGATGATTTCGACATTTCGAAATAGATGCATTTTCGAAAAACCGACGTGCGAGGATGCGACTTTCATTATGAGACTCGATTCTTTCGACTTGATCACGATAGATGGGGAGGAGCGCAAGGATGGTGCAGACCGAGTTGCATTCCAATCACTGTCATCTTAATTTTGATAGTGTTGGTCGTTTTGTTGCCATTGTTGGATCATGCGGCGGACAAGTACGGCTCGAACAGCACTAGTTTCGGTTTCAATTCGAGTTGCATGGACGGCTGCGATATATCGTTCGTGGAAAGTTTACCGGTTGGGATGAATTACACCGACGACGATCCGTCTCTTCGGAGCACGTACGATGCTTGGCTGAAGTTGATTTTATTGGCGCGAGAAAAGATCGAAATAGCTTCGTTCTATTGGACTTTGAGGAGAGAAGATGTATATCCGGACGATACTGCAAAGCAGGTACCTATCCGAATCTCGCCTCGGGACCTCGCACCTCCGACCAATCATTTCAACCGATTGTTTCAGGGTGAAGAGATATTTCGCATGCTCCTCGAAGCGGGCAAGGATCGCAATATTCTGTTGCGTATAGCGCAAAACATGCCGTCCCACGTTAGCCGAAACATCGATACGGAAATCTTAATGAAAAAGGCGAACGCCAAGGTAACACCGCTCTCGCGCGATTAACGATCAATCGAACTTCTCGAGTGCAATCGTACGAACGCGAACCACGGATCCCCGAAACATTCAATTTGCGAACATTCAAACAGGTGAAGAGTTTAAACTTTGCGGCATTGTTGGGCGCAGGTGTGTTACACACGAAATTATGGCTCGTCGATAGAACGCACGTGTACGTTGGTTCGGCGAACATGGACTGGCGGTCACTGACACAAGTGAAAGAACTCGGCCTGGTTGCTTTGAATTGCAGTTGTTTGGCAAACGACTACGCCAAGATTTTCGACGTAAGTCGGTCGTCTCGATATCTTGTCGTAATATAGAGGATGCGGCGGAATGCGAATAACGCGCAGGAGCTCGTGTACAATTCGAATCGGGTCGAATTCGGCTTCCTCCCGCATTCGACGATATTCTATTAGCAAAACGTTCCTTAGGTTTATTGGACGGTAGCGGAAGACGGTAGAATACCGTCCATCTGGCCCGACTCGTTTAGCACGAGCATCAATTTGAATAATCCAATCAACTTTACGTCGAGGAACAACAAGTATCGAACGTTCGTCGCGGTAAGTAAATCTACTAAATAGCGAAATGGCTCGAAACTAGTTTCGATGATTTTCAAACACGACGCGTTTCAGAGTTCACCTCCACCTTTCTCGCCAAAGGGTAGAACGGACGATATTAATGCTATTCTGTATTGCATAGAGAAGGCGGAGAAATTTATTTATATCGCGGTAATGGACTACTTTCCTTTGACGATATATACCGCTAAAATCACGTACGTATCAAAGAAAAGTTTGCTTCTCGCAACGCATCTCACCCCATTCGGTACAATATATTCTATACGTACACGCGCGCTATCGTACAGCGCGTATAGTACTAATTTGTACGTTCAAGTTACAACTCGATTGGCGAAATATTTAGGTATTGGCCGGTAATAGACGACGCTTTGCGAACTGCAGCCATCGAACGGAAAATTCAAGTACGTCTATTGATCTCCTCCTGGAAGCATTCGAGCAAATCCGAGACTCCTTTCCTGAAATCACTGGTCGAGCTGACTGGCAGTTACCCAGGCGTCAAGATCGAAGTGGTTGGTGTTTCGACTAGCCGACAGAGTCGTCGGTGTACTTTGCTATGCTCGGAATATCTGTTTGTCTTTTCGTTTTAGAAGAGGTTCGTAGTCCCCACTAATCCCGATTTCGATAAAATTCCATTCGCGAGAGTGAATCACAACAAATACATGGTAACAGATACTGCCGCGTACATAGGAACTAGCAATTGGTCCGGTGATTACTTTACAAACACTGCAGGTAATTATCCCATTTGTCGCGTCCCAGTAGCGTTTCCAGATGACTTTGCGATGTCTAGACGCGCAGAATTCCGTCCATGTCATGTTACAGGTGTCGGGACGGTATTTGAAAGTATCGGCGATGAAACGTCGGATAATCTCAGGCAACAATTGGAGAAGATTTTTCATCGCGACTGGTACTCGGAGTATACTTGCGCCTTAAATAAAAGCTTACCAAACGAGAGACAATCGACGAATACCATTCGAGATGATTACTTCTCGCGATCATCGAGCTATATAGTAGCGCGACAACGATGACTCGGTTAAGAAGAATTCGACCAATCGCAAAAACGAAAATCATTTCTGACTGGTTAGCATCTCGACTCGGAGTTTTTAAATGTCACGTCTCTCGTCATTCGCAAACTCGAATTTTTTTTCCTCTTCTACGAAACACTTGGTTACGGTTGTCCGAACTCTGCAAATATCGCCTTCGAGCCGACGTTTTATTTGTTCCGCGTGCGTTCCACGCACAC